AATTAATTACTCTTTTCATCATTTTCATAAGAGAGTTAATTATTACATTCATTATTCTCAGTTGTTGGTCTATCAGTCAAAATAATATGTTATTCAGGTTATTGACCTTTGCCAAAAAGCCTAAATATCTTACTCTTATGTTTGATTTAACTATTTGGAATTATTTATTATTGTCCTTCTTTATTAACATAATATTCATGCCGAAATTGTCTATCCTCATATACATTATTAATTAAATCAAGATTTAATTAATGTTATCTATTTTATTCATCCGCATCTGAACTAAATTCATATATTTTATTTGACAATTCCACCATCACTAAATTTTTAATTTAATCATTACTAGTTTGTTTGTTATATGCTGCTATAATGAATCCCATTACTATAAGGGATATTTATAATAATCCTCCCAATTTGGATAATAAATCTGTCACACTTTGATTGTTTCTTTCTACAGATATTATAATGGGACTTTTTCTAAAATAAAAGGCAGCAAATGATTAATCTGTATCCCTTCCCAAATCAATTACTTCTTTAGTTTCTGTGTTATCAATTGAAATAAAGTTTAAATTTTAATTATCCCTAAGTTATAAAGGAAATTTACTTAAAAGGAAAGAAATCTAAATTATTTCTAAATTTATATTCTCGAAAGTAAATATTTGCATATTTATTTAATTTTTTTGGAACAAATGATAAATAACTTTAATCATCTAAAAATATTGAAATATAGTCTGATCCAATTTTATTTGGATTGATAACCTAAATAGTTTGGATATATGTCATACTTTATTAATCAAATAAACTTATACTTTAAATGCTCCTAATTAATTCAAATGATCCTATAAAGATTCATTAGAAGCACATGTACTATTTTCTAAAATTAAAGATTGATTGCATGGAGAAACTTCAATTTTAAGAAAATTAAAATAGTTAGCTAATATAAGAAAATTAATTTACATGCAAATGTACCACCTATATTCATACTGATATTATTTCTATAATATATTTCACAATAAAATACTTTGGACATAATAAATTCTCTAAATTCAAATGATTGAAGTCCTCTGAAAAGTTTTTACCATATTTTAGAAATACAGTTTAGAATCTTTCCAGTGTGCAAGGTTCAAGTGGAAGTTAAGTGATATTTTTAGAAAACGATCCATTATCCAATCTTTCGTATTCTCTGATTTAGAAATTTGAATAAATTACCTTTGTTGTAGAGTAACTGAAAAGAAGGGGTTTCTTAAAAAGTTCTATTATTCTATACCAAGTGCTATTATGAAATCTTGATCATCAAGTTAAAGGTTCGAAAGATCATTATCATAGACTTAAGTTTACTTTGTTATAATGTTCTTTCCTTATATATAGTCTAGAAAATTGCTTGAGAAAAAGAGAAACACCAAAAAAATTGTAGCTATTGATGTAAATCCACCAAATGTTGATTGATAAGTTGATTATTAATTCATTCCTAAAGAAGGTGATTGAGCAAATATATCGCAAGCTTTTAGATCTAATCTTATAATGTAATAAAATTACATGAATATATTTTTTCCATCGGAAATGTTTATTTTTTAATAATATTTTAATATGATCATACAAAAAGATTAATTAATTTAATAGATCTGAAAATTTGTTTTATCGGTTATTAGTTCTAATCTTTGATACCCCTTAATTCTTAAACATAAATATAAATATAGATTTGATGGATGAGTTTAATATTATTAATTTTTTGGCAAATTATTATTTTAATGAAATATATGAGTCTTAAATTTAATTGAATTCAATCTAAAAAAATGATGCCATAACTTTCTAATATTTCCAAAATAATTCCCATTTATTAAAATTATCTAATACCTCATATGGTTCTATATTTATCTATATATTCATTCATTATTATAACAGTATTTTCTAATTATTTATACCAATCTATATATTTTCTTGTTAGTAAATAATTCTAAAAAGGATAATACTATATTTGAAATGCTAGGATAATGATACATAAATTAAAATATAATTAAAGAATGAATAAATTAAAATATTTTTATAAAAAATTAGAGCCTCCAAAATAAATGGCTCTATCAAATGAACTAATCAATAAGAAAATTGAAAATATATAAATTATTCCTTAAACTATGAAGATTCTAATGAATTGAGACATAAATTTGTGTTTTTAAAAAGAGCAATTTTAAGATTTATTTAAGATAATTTCTTGCTGTAATAAACAAGTAATTCCATCTAAGGAACTAATTATGATATAATTTTTGGATTACTTTTTATTCTAAATATAGGAGTTTATTAAATTATTGTAAGTGTCATTGTAATAAAAAAAATTTGAATGTATATATCTGAGATTTTAGAATGACATCTTAATGATGCCTTTGGATTAATAATAATTCAAATTGTACATATAAAAAAATTAGCATTAATTTCTTGTATAGTTTTAGGATTTCATTATTATATAATGATCATTATTTCTTAAAGTTTTAGTTAAATACAGATTAGGATGAGAGAGAAATAAATATGGGCTTATATCAGGAATTCTTTAATTCATGTTTTTTAGATGTGAGAATTTGATTTATATATTTTGATTAATTCATTTATGTAATAAAAAAGTAATAGTGTATTGAAAAATTTGGAATAATTACAGTATTATGTGAAAAACGATGAGTTTTTGGAAGTGATTAAGTCATTCCTAAAATTTAAAGCAACAGCTTTATAAATTTTAGATTAGATTGAATAATCAATTGTAAATGCTACAGTGAAATGCACTCCAAGAGAAATGATTGGATTGTATGATGATTATGGAACTTTGGATATTATCAATTGGTTACAAAGTGTATCCATAAATGAATAGAGTTAAGCTTTGAAGGAAATTAAACTAGAGAAATAAAGCATTTAAAAGTTAAGACATTCTTATGAGATAACATTTAAGAAAAATTTAAAAGATTTATAAGACATTTTGGAAAAAACTTTAGATGCTATAAATAATCAAGCGGAATATCAAACTAATCTAACTATAACAAGATTGAAAAAAAGAGATGAAAGTATTGTTTTAGAGAATAATGGAATTTTATTTGATGCAGGTGTTGTAACTGTTTGTGTATTTGAACCTAAGTCAAATGGATTATTTTTAAAAGGATTACATTAACCAATATTCTTTGATGGAATATATTTTGAATAACCAATAAATTTTAAAGAGACTCCACATACAATAAAGTTTAGTTTACATAAAGGTTTCAATCTGAAAGATAGTTTATATGAGGAAGAATTCTATATTTATGATCCAGAATTTAAAAAGGTAGATGGGAATAATTATGCAATTGAGTTTAAGCAGAAGATTAAATTAGAGAAAGGCTGCAAATATTGTTTATGTGCATATGCTGGTTAAGATGAATTCTTTGCAACAACTTAATATATGGAAATTGAATAAGATAACCCTTATATTAAATTTCAAGAAAAGTCTTATGATCATGGTGAGTTTATTGCACCAGATCATGTCAATTAGATAATTTCTGAACATAATAAGGGGATATTTTCAGCATTTATAGTAATTGAAGAATGATAATGTGAATGAATTACATTATAGTTTGATATATATATATTTTAATTAAAAAAAATAAAAAATGAAGAAATAAGATTGGAAATTCATGTAAGTATTTGGTGATAAAGCTTCATCTGATAATGTCAGTGATGAAGACATTATATCAGCTGTTTAATTTGAAAGGACAGGAAGATTTTTAGGATTAGGAGACAAAGCAGGACGCTTAATAGTTTTTGAAGTTCCATAAACAAAGAAGAAAGATAAAGCAGAATATTAGTATAAATTTATAGCAATTTTATAGGTATCTGACTGAACTTCAATCTCATACTAGAGAGTTTGATTTCTTAAAAAGTACTGATATAGAGGAGAAGATCAATTAACTTTAATGGTTAAGAGGATAAGGTAAAAATATGTATATTTTGACTACTAATGATAAAACAGTGAAGTTATGGAAGATTAGCGAAAAGAATGTTACTAAGGTTATTAAACCAAGTGGAAAAGATTTAGCTATGCCAAAATTATAGGTTGTTGAAAGTGGACTCATTCCAAGGTATTTTATAATATTATATAAATTTAAGTGTGAGAAAAGTATTTCCAAATCTACATAATTATCATATTAATTCATTGACTGCTTCTAATAATGAAGAATTTGTTTTGACTTCAGATGATTTAAAGGTTTATTTATGGAGTATTGAATAACCAGCCAAGGCATTTGTTGCTGTAGATTTAAAACCAGAGAATCTAGATGAGTTAAGTGAAGTAATTACATCTTCTACTTTTCATCCAACTTTAGATAATTAATTTTTATATACTACCAGTAAAGGAATTGTAAAACTATGTGATATGAGAAAATCAGGAATTTGTGATAATACTGCTATAACAATGGCTGAACCTGAAGATCCAGCCAAAAAGAATTTCTTTACAGAAATAGTTACATCTATTTCAGATGCATGTTTTAGTAGGAATGGAAAATATATTTTTTCAAGAGATTTTCTTACTGTTAAAGTATGGGATATAGCTATGACTAATAAACCAGTTGCTACAGTCTAAGTATTTGAACCACTTAAATCTAAATTATGTGATCTGTATGAAAATGAAAGCATATTTGATAAATTTTCAATTGCATCTACTCTTGATTCTAATAGTTTTGTTACTGGAAACTTTAATAGCACTTTTCATATTGTAGATAGAATGGGTAGTTTTTTATTATTATAATCTAGGTGAATGTAATTCATAATATGAACTTAATTTCAATAAGAAAACTGTTGTAAGATAAATCCCACCTAAATACTTCGAGAATTTGGGATCATCCTATGATTTTAATCGTAAAGTTTAGAAATTGAGTATGTGTCAAACCTAGAATCTTGTTGCTGTAGCTTGCCTCAATTGTCTCTATTTCTACACAGCATGACAATTACATATTTATCCAATTATTAATATATTATTATATAAATGATAATCATCCAATATGTGGAGCTTATTTTACAATTCCATTTTCATCATGAAACACTCTTACTCTATTAGTTCTATAATCCATAGTCACCATAGAATTTTAAGGAAGTAATTAAACATTTAATTCAGCATTGTCAGCAAGTATTATTTACTTTGCTTCATCAGCTGTCTTTCCAACACATTCTGGCCAAGATTGTTTACCTTAAGGAAGATGAAAATCCATTTTAATACTTTAATTTTATTTATTATCATCAGAATAATAGTTATTATGATTCATATTTTATTACTAAATGATTAACATATTATATTGTTTATATCAAAGACTCTAGTCAATCAATTATAATTGTTTAACTAGATTTCATTACAACCACAATATAATTATGTTAAGATTGATTATAATATACTTATTTACAATAGATGAAAATTGTAAATAAAAAGAAAGCAGTTCCAAATTAACTGCTTTTAATTTATTGAACATGTGGCTATGTATGTTTATTTATTATACTATCATATACTATCATTTTTTTGTTTTGTATTTTGCACCAAGAACGAGTTATAACTTTCCTCCTGTTGATCTTCCCAATTGACTTGAGCATTTACTAACACTATAAAAGGCAATCATTACATGCAGGTGATAATGCCTCTGGCATGGGAGAATACAGTGTTATTAGCTTGGCACTATGGGCATTTGACATCCATGAAGTATGAGTTTGGAGCTTAAATCAATCTCTTTAATTTATGCTTTCTCTTTTCACTTTCATATTAAGGTCTCAATAAATCTTGGTCCATTATTTAAATTTATTTTTAAATTAATTTATTTATTTCAAATACTCTAATGAACCACAAGAGATACTCTTAATCATGTACAATATTAATCTTCCTCATATAATTAAAAGCAAATTAACAAATTTTTCAATATATTTACTTAAAAACAATACATTTCAATTTAATCAACCCATAGATAAGTCATATTTTTTTTGTTCTATTAAATCATTGTTTTTCTCTTTCATTTTCAAATATATCTATAAAGATATTATAGCATCTAATGCAGCGTAATGAGTTTAAGCCTTTCTTAATGGCCTATATTCCCAATTACTACAAGTTTCATATTTACTTAATTTTTTCGAAAAATAGAATTCAGTTATATAGGCTAAGGATTTATTTTTTTTTTCTTCTTCCAACAATTTGAAACACTATGACAATTCAATAACTGATCTAATTTTTATATTCTTTAATTTCAAATAATTTACAGTATGTTTAAGATCATCATCCACACTCAAGCCGATTTTCATGATTTAAGCATTCTCCATAAACGATCTCACATCTTTATGAAATTCTAAAGCTTCTTTTAGTTTTTAATAGTCAAAGATAAAAACATGGTTTGTAGTAGCAATTTAAACTAAACAAACTCTAAATCCATAATAATCCAATTTTGTCCAAGGTGTTACATGCTCACAATCATAACCTTTTTAATTAATATAAAAAAATACCAACAGCATTACTTGAATGAATACATTTCCATGCCTCAAAATAATTCTCATCAACTTTATCAATGAATATTATTTGATTTTCAGTATAACCAAAATCTTTGCAATTCAAATAAACACCAATTTCATTATTAACAAACTCTTCTGTAGGTTTAAATTCATCCTTAGCAAACAATGTATTTGGGATCTCTTCGAATCCTTTCTTATAATCTATTTATAATTTTTCCTCCTAAACTCTCATCTTTATTAAGTCTATTAGATTATTTCTTTTAATAATCGAAAGTGCTTCTGTTGGCAAACCATTATAATATGCATTTTCACATAAACGGGCTAATAACTATGGCTAATATAATAGCATTTCTTCACTTTTATACCAAGGATGTTCTTTGGACATATATTTTATACAATTTTTTTATAACACCTCAACTATTTTGGGATAATCAGCTGGATCACAATTTTAATTTTTAATAAATTCTGCTGCTTTATTGATTTCTCTATATTTTTGCATTTGCTAAATTAAATTATCAAAACAATTTTTTGGTAATTTTGTATTTTTATATAAGAAGTAGGCATCCTCAAATTTCTATTTAAAAAGTAAATTCTTAAAATATTTTTCAAATCTAATATAGATTATAAATTGTACTCTTTTTCAGGAATTTGTTCTTTTAATTAAAAAAGATTAAGAAATTCAAGCATATCTTGAACAGTTAAATCCTTCCATATTTTAACAATTCCATTATCCTAAAACTATTTTAAATTCATTTAGTCTTTGTTTTTTTATAAAAATAAAAAAAGCACTTTTAATAATTACCTTGGCACATTAAATGCAACTAATTCCTCAAGTATCTTTTATAAATTTTATACTAATTTCTCACTATTATTATCTTGATTCACAACTTATAAAAATAAGTTTTGAATAACCTATATAGAAATGATTTAAATACATTGAAAGATGGTTTATTGTTTGTTAGGTATTAACTTAATTCATAAAATCCATCACATTCAATTATGACTTTTTATAAGATTTAAATGAATTCATTATCATTTATAACTTCTTCTTCTTACTCTAGTTTTTATTACATTTATAATAATTCTTTTTTAAATAAATAATAAATTATGTTATTTTTTTCAATGATATAATTAAAACCCTTAATTTTATACATTTAGTTAAGATTGAAAGTATTTAATTAATAAAGTGAATACAACTATATTCATTTTTATTTAGAGAATGTTGTATTAATGGTAGAAAATAATAATCTACTGAGATTGGATATATTATTTTAGATTGTACCGACAATATTGTATATTAATTCAACAGTTGTTATCAAACTCTGATAGATATTTGTTATTACTGCTATTAAAATGGCTATAGCATACATATACAATTGCATTAATAGAATTATCCTGTAGCACTTATTCTCATATGACCATGCATATTTTACATATAAACTATTATAAGTATAAATCCTTAAAAATAAATCTGAAATTAAAATAAAGGGCAACAACATAAAACTGATTAAGATGGCTATTAATAATCCAAAAATTAATTTTAAGACAGAAATGCTTATCTTTTTAACTTAATTCTCAGATTAATGAACTTTTAAATTATCATTTTCTTGGCTTAGAGTTTTTGCTTAATGTTTACCATGATATTTTTAGTTTATTGTTTTTTATATTCTTACAACAAATAAAATTATATTTAGATTGAGTTTCCATTTTTTCATTGTGCTTGATTTCCAATTTAATATCTTCTTTTATCTCACCTTAAATTCATAAGTATGATTTCTGAATTTAATCCTTCTTTTTTAATATTAAACAGTCTCTAAACCCAACATGCCCTTCAATGTCTTTACAGGTTCTTCCTTGTCAAAATGATCAGTAGTAGTTATTTCAATGAGTTTTTCAGAGTCTATTGCATTCTATATTATAAGTTTAGGAGCTTTTGTATCTTATTATGTATCTATTTTAAACTCTTTTCTTTCACTATTACAATTAGAAGGTGAGAAAACAATTGGTTCCTAGTATTTGTTGTATTGATTTATTGTTTGTTTAATAGAGTTTTCAATTTGATCATTATTGTTTTGATCATTGATTTGGATCAACTTGGTATTGTTAGGATCTCCATCATCCCCTTTTAAGTTTGAATACTCACGATAGATGGGCTTATTCATTTTTAATATTTTTTGAAATAATTAGAATACAGTAAAACCAATAACTCATTATTTTTTTGGATTGCTTTATTTTCTTTAAGTTTTAGATTTGCTTCCAATTTTTCTATGATCCTTATTCATTTATGTAATTTAATCATCTTTTTATTTTATAACATTTTAAAGTTCCTAAATTTTAGTGTCTTTTTCAGCAACTTTATTTTACAACTCTTAAACCCTGTAATTTAACTCCTAATTAATAACCTATAGAGTTTAAAGTGCTTTCTCTTTTTGTTAACATTATGTCTTCTCCTATTCTAATAGATCATTTATGGCTTCAACTTCATCTTACAATTCTGCATTTTTAGCTTCAAGTTCTGATACTCTTTATCTTAACTATAATATTAATAAATAAGACCTGATCGTTCTCTTGATATGAAATTTCTTAGATATATTTGCATTGTTGATGAGGATCCATAGAGTAAAAATTAAAATTAAATAAAAAATAGTCTCTGTTGAATTGAATAATATGTTATTTTTATTGTTTTTAATAAAAAGTATTTAAATGTTTATCACGAATAAATAATGTCTTTAAAAAAAGTTCATAAATACAACTACATAATTCTTTTAAGATCTTGTAATTAAATAGGTTTTGTTATGTAATCCTTCATTCCTGCATTAAGACATTCTAGTTTTTATTCAGAACTTTCATATGCAGAACATCCGATTATACTAACATCAATACGATACTATTAAGATAATTCTAAAATCTTTTTAGTAGTTTAAATTCCATTAATTGTTGGCATCTCTAAATCCATAAATATCAATTTGTAGTAATCCTAATTTGCTTACCATTTTTTTTGACATTTTTCAATTGCCAAATATCCATTAGTCACTGAATCAACTTGATCTTATCCTCTATTTATAATAATAATATAATTACAGTTATGCTAGTCTTCTTTTCAACATATCAATATTCATACAAACATCATCCACTATCATAATCTAAGTAGTCATTATTGCTTTTGTAGATCTTTTAAAAATTGAAGCTTAATTATTCACATAAACTTTATGAATTGACTCCTCCTATTATTATTATATAATAATGGACTCTTCACTATCTTAATTTCGTTCTTCCAAACTATTTAATGACTTAATTTCATTTATATCTTGATATTGAATTAAAAAATAAAATGTAGACCCTAATTTTTAAATATATTAACAATAATACCTTTTTTATACTAGGATTTGAATTTTAAACCATTCTGTAAGTCTTAATTTAAATTTTATAAAATTTAATTACTAATTAATAATCCTAATCCAACACCTGATTTATTCATTTTTTTATGTTCTTCACTATTACCTTTACCAAATGCTTAGAATATTCTTAATTAATCTTCTTCAGTCATTCCAATTCCAGTATCTACAACTGATACTTCCAATCTTAAATTAATCTAAGTAACTTTTATTGTTACAGAACCTTCATCAGTAAATTTAAAAGCATTTCCCAATAAGTTGATCATTATTTATTTTAATCGACTAGAATCAGAATATATATATCTTGGAGCTTTGTTTTCATAATTAATATA